ATAAGAATAATGAGTGTATTTTGTAGTATCGTTATGACTGGCTGGAGGATGAACAGGAGTACCAAGAAGAGCGCTATAAATGTGATTGGCTTGAGAATTATCATCTTCATCAAAAGTGACAAAGATTAATGTATTGTTTGTAAATGCTGGTTTAGTAAGCTTTGGTTCAAGCCAACCTGAGAACCAATTGTTCGCAAATGCTACACCAGTGTCATGACCATCATTATTTTGATTTGGTGTATAATAGACAAATTGTGGTACTTGATTATTATTTATATCAGTATCAAGTTGGGTACCAGGAACTATTTTCGCACAACGAGTGGAATTTGTTCTTATGGTATCCATTGAAATGAAAGGATTATGCTTTCTTGCGTATAAATGTTGGCCAGAAGGAGCAGTAGCACCAAGGTAACAGTTACCAGCTATAAAACGATATAGTTGATAAATAAAAACCCAAATCAATAAATAAATACAATAAATAAACACAATAAATAAATACAATAAATAAACGTAATAAATAAACGCAATAAATAAATGTAATAAATAAATAAATCAAGATTTTGTGACACATACGATAGTCTTCCATATAAGCTTTCCAAGAGACACCTTTAGCTTCAAGAAGGTCAACTATATTTGTTCCGGAAATGTTGTGGTTGCTATCGTCTGTGATACCAGCGGTTGAACCGTAAATTTCGGCAACGTAATTTGGCTAAAAGGCAAGAAAGTTAAATTTAAATTTTAAGATTAAAGAAAATAAAAATAAAATTTACCTGAGAAGGATGTGCGACTGCGAAGAAGTTGTTAAGAAGAAGGCCATTACTACGCTGAGTTATGTTTTTAAAATAAGGTTGTGCGTACGCATTAGTAAATGCAGTGTTTTCAAAAATGACCAAAACAATTCAGTCAAAATATGTTCCTGGAATGAGAGCATCGACGGACGCTCCAATAGAAGCGACAATTAAGAAGAGAATGACAGATGTAAAGTATTTCATCTTTATTAGCGTGTAATGGTTATGTAAAATTGAACATTTTTTTGAAAGTGGATTTCATCACGTTTTTATACATTTTGGAATGTTAATTAAAGTGCTAAATTATACGTTTCTTAATATTATATTAAATTTTTTCTCGGAAAAAATTAACATTGTCTCACAACTCTAGACATAAAATCAAATGTATACAAAGGATTGAACCAAATTTGTAAAATCGCATGAATT